CTGGCTACTGACCGATGGACAATCCCCACCGATCGTAATATGATACTTATTATTATTATTACTTGAACACTACATTTCTTATACAATATAGATGCTGATTATTCAAGAATTATGAAAATATAATTTATTTTTTACTAATATTTAAATTGAAAAATAAATATATTTGAATTTATCATAAACAAGCGGATTTTTTTTTGTGTTGGTGTCACCCTTGCAGCGAATTAAGTGGGAGTTTTACTTTTCCAAGTTGGCAACAGTGAATTTGAAAATTCCGCTATCATTAATTGTGATTTTGGAAGATGTGTACCCATCTCACAAGCTGCAGCCTGGTCAGCTACAAATACTATTCTAGCTCCTCCCTCTTCAGATCCATTACCTGTGTACATACGTAACAAAATAGTCGAAAAACGGAGAGCTAGAGCTCTCTTAAAGCGCACTCGGCTCCCTTCCCATAAACTAATTTACAATAACCTGACTAATTCCTTGAAAAAAATTATAGTGAAAATTAAGGCAAATGTTTGGTAAAATCACTTAATGAAGCTTACTCCCAATGATGGTAGTCCTGGGGGGAAACAAAACAAATTCTTCGTTATGAATCACCAAATCTTTCTATTAAGAAATCAGATAGCCTTGCCACCATTTATCTTAAAAAAGCAGAACTCTTTTAGGAGCATCTTTTTCAAACTTTTCAACCACACTCTGAATTAATTGACAACGAAAATATGAACTCAGTAGAAACGTTTCTGAATGCTTTCCTTTCTCTAACCCTCCCTATCAAGTCATTTACACCAAACAATGTAAAATATGCCACACTAAAATACTCACTAAACAAATCACCGAGCTATGATCGCATTACTGCGGATCAGATTACTCCAGATCCCTTACAACTATAGCTATCATTCACATCACTCACATATTTAATGCTTCACTTAGACTTTCTTATTTTCCTCTATTTTTGGAATTCTCCACTAAAATCCTGTTCCCTAAACCAAATAAGCCACCGGACATTCCATCGTCACATCGACTAATCAGCCTTCTTCCATTTTTCTCTAAAACCCTTGAACGGTTAATTCTGAAATGTATTCTACCTATCATTACTCAAAAGAATATTCTTCCAAATACCCAATTCGGCTTTCTGGCATCTCACTCAACCATACACCAAGTCCACAGAGTCATAGATGCCATTTTGTATTACCTAGAAAAAAAAACTTTATTGTAATTGTGTGTTCCTAGACATTGCACAAGCCTTCGATAGGGTGTGGCAGGATGTCCTTTTATTTAAACTTAAAAAATTCCTTCCACCCACTAACTATCTACTCATCAAATCCTATCTAATGGGTCGATATTTTCAAGTTCGCTACGGATCCGCTCTTTCTGATTTAGCTTCTATAAATTCTGGAGTGCCTCAAGGTGGCATCCTACCTCCAATTCTCTATAACGTCTTTGCTTCTGGTCAACCTGCTACCTCCAACACATCAGTAGCTGACTATGCTGATGACAAAGCACTAATATCCATTCACAACAATCCAATCCTAACGTCAATAAATCTATAAACTCACCTTAATGATATGGAAAAATAGTTTACAAAATGGCAGTTTAAAGTTAACCAAAATAAATCCGTTCTCACAACCTTCATCCTCAGACATACTCCTTGTCCTGGCGTTGTTCTTTACGGAATTCTAATTCCCTATTCTGCAAAAATCATATATCTCGGCCTTACTTAAGATAAAATATTAACTTGGGCTCATCATATCAGAACCAAAAGATTATCATTGAATCATCGTCTTCGCTTACTTAAAACCCTTATTATCCAATAATAATCACACCTCTATTAGAACAAAACTGCTTTTATACAAAACACTATTGAAACCACTATGGACCTACGGCATTTAGCTTTGGGACAATGCGAAAAAGACAAATATCTTGAAAATCCAAATCTTTCAAAATGTTCCGCTTAAAAAACTAATGAATGCGCCACCCTAAATATCAAATCATACACTACACACCGACTCAAAACTTTACACAATAAACGATGAAGCTAAAATATTTGATAAAAGATTCCATTACCGTTTAAATAATCACCCAAATAAATTAATAAAAACTTGGCCACTCCCTCAATACCTGGAAATCCAACGAGACATCTGAAGCGTAAGTGGTGTCGAGATCTCTTAAATTAAATAAAATATAAAAAAATATATATATAAATAAATAATCATCAAGCTAGCAGAAAGTGCTATCAATGGGTGGATTCTATCTACAAAACCTCATGATATGTCAACCTTCATCACATTTTCTTATTGTGCCTAGTATGGATACAGATTGTTAATTACTTTAAAAAAAAACAAAATATATTTTGTAATATGGTGTAAAATATGTCTACTGATAACTATGCATGTAATTAGGAGATAGTTGTCGAGCGATGCCATGAAATTTTTTTGAGTTGGCACATTAATGTATTAGGTATCCTTGTGTTTTGTTAAAAACATAAGTACATCACGTTTGTCCTTCCATTTCATTACTACGATATTATTATCATTTTGACTTGATTTTATTTCACCTTTCTTTAATTTAGCATTTATTACGTCTTTTGGATTAAACTTCCTGTTAGAACGCGTAATGTACCTACAAGATTTTTGAATCGGCTTAAAAGTTCATGTGCTAAACTTACTGATGTAAACCAGTTGTCAATAAACAATTTCGATAAGAAAATTATATGAAATATGAAAAAAAAAACCAATGGCCAATGTTATAATGTGTCCAAAAATACAACGGCGCACGTGACAAACACAGTGAGCACCTATTCTGGTTAGCGTTTGAAGATTGCTCTATAAAAATACCGTGAGAGTTAACTTGTTTATGTTAATGATTCATTCCATTTTTTTTTACAAACTGAGATTTTTTTCGTGTACCACCAAGCATATTTTTTAAGTCTTCTTTAATATTTTGTAATTATAAATGTTAAGTTTACTAGTTTCAGAGTATGTATTACTATAACATCATTATTAGTTTTGTTAATATTATTATCTTTATGGAATGTTAAAGTCCTATTTTTGAAATCATATTAGCATTATATTGGTATAAAAATGTATTTCCAATTATTATATTATGAAAAGATAAATTATTAACTAAAGTTAATCCATATATTGTGTTCGAGGTCTATTATCTGCTCCTGGTAATATGATAGCTCATCACTTGTTTTGGATTGAGATAATTTTGTAGAGGGGGGCACTGTTCCGAGGGAAAAACGAATTTTGGTTAGGTTAACCGTATCCGTTATCTGGTGGTACGCAGTATACGTTTCACCATAAAGTCAAGCAAAATAATATTCTGTCCATAAATATTAAGATGAACGTTACAATTATTATTATAAATAAGTTAACTGTAAAATAATAAACTTACAAAGGTAAGAAAATAGAAGTATAATGGCTTTACTCATTGGCCAAGATTACTTAGCTGACTCGCATTAGCTCATGTTCTATTGGATGATAAATTAATAACCATGATCAAAATTAATTGGATACAGTTATAAATTTATTATAATATGTATGTTAGAGCTAATTGAATTAATAACAAAAAAAAACAATTATTTGTCAATTTAATGAGAATTTCAAAAATATACACCGACTACATATCAATAAAATAATAATTTTCAAGTCACCCTTCATTATAGAGGTCAGAGTATAAATTCTAGATTTTTTTATTTTTTATTTTATTTTCTTCATTAATGTCTAATAAGGCCAAAATAAAGCAATTAAACCATTAGGCTACACAATAAATCAAGTGTATTTCAAAATAATTCATCAGCTACACTCTCACATAGCTTAATGTTGTTGAATAAAAATAGCCATTAAGTAAACTTACAAAAACACAGTTCCGAATGAATAACTAAATATATACACTGGTAATAAGGTATTATGGTAATAATGGTAATAATAATATAAGTAAAAAAACAAAAAATAATTAAAGTAAAAACTACAAAACCTACCTTAAACGTAATACTAATTAAAAATAAATGCAATTACATTTTAACACTGACATATCTTTGATCACTTATTTTAAGTTCCAGTTAATTGATTTAAAGATCAAATGTTTAGTTTAAAAAGTAGAGCAATATAAGACAATTTCCCAAACCAATCAACACAGTATTTGTAAGGGGCTTTTTTCGTTCGGTTCTTTCAAAAAAGAAGTGAAAGAACCGAAAATCAATTTATTATTTACAGTCTTTAGTGGGAACAGTAGGTTATAAAAATGACGAAATCATGATCATTATTACGATAAAAATATTTTATAGATTAATTGGGTTCTGGGAATTCCAAACAAACTACATACATTTACAAACAAATGGATTTATATGCCATCCAGATTATTGTTGGTCCGGACTATCTATGCTCTACTGTTCTTTCTTACATTTTGTTGTTTTAATGATATTTTGTATTAAAGCTTATAAAACATATTTATAACAATCCAATTAACACAACTTCAAGAAATTTTACAATAATTTTTTTTGGTGGGAGACATAGTTTGGTATGAATCAAATAGTTTCAATATTAGTGCAAATTTGTTTGGTTTATATATTAATACTAATTATTAAAAACAGAATACAGGATGAAAATTTGGTAGCAAAAATGTGTATCATGTTATTATTGAACAGCCACTGAATGTAAGAAAAATAATTTGATGTGGCATGGTATCAGTCATGATAAAGTGGATAATAAAAGCTATACATTTAGGTACTGGATAAAAAATTAAAATGTCACATTATATAATTTCTTTTTAGCAATCACAATATAATAAAATAAATAAAAAATTTAAATAAAATACAATTTTAAAAACGTATAAACAATAAAATACCAAAATATTAAATGAAAAATAACCTTAGCATTTTAAGTACACATTTTATGTTAGTAATAATTAATAAACTATAAAATATTATAAAAATATATTAAATAAAATTAAAATAATAATTTTTAGTTGTAATGCAATACATAAATATATAATAAAAGACAATAATATTTTAATTTTTAACTTTGGAGTAATTATTAACCACCCATACAAATAATTTTATGTACGTTTTTGCAAATTTATCAATATCAATTGGTTCGTCAGTCTTCTATAACTAATGTCATCTTAAATATTTTTTTTTAAATATTTAATAGCCGAAATAAGAAAGATTGAAGACTAAAAGTTTTTATTAAATTATGGTATATTAGTAATTAGAAGATAGTAACGTTGGTAACAAATGTTGCCAAGTGATCTTTTTTTTTTTGTGAATTCACTAAATATACTCAATTAAATATTTGGAAAATAAAAGTTAATTTTAAGTTACTTAATACCTATAACTTCAATTTAAATGTATTTATAAAACTGTATAGTAACAAAATGTTATTGTACATTTAACTTATCCACAGCCAACATGTTAAGTTTAAATGCTGCTGATTTCCAAAAATAAAAAATTGTTCCATATAATATAATTTATACAAATATTTATGAATATTTATGTTCAAAACTGGAAATGAAAATGTCTTAGAATAATAATACATAATTTGGTTACGAGTCTGATTTTCCAGTAACGGCCATGTAAGGAACATAATCTATAGCCATAAGACACGCAAAGAGTGTCATTACCATTTTTGGTTTTACTTCAGTAATATCTTCTGGTAAAGCATACACTCTAGCACCAGTCTTTCTGGCCATTGATATTGCATATTTAGCATTTGCTAAATTATCCTAAAATAATAATTCAATTTAGTTACTTATCCAATTTTGAAGTGTTCATAAAGCAATTTTGATAATTATTTTTATTAACAGTATTACCTCAGCATCGCCGCCCTCTTTAACTACATCATAATTAATGGTGCCTGGTTTTATTGCATCAATTAAATCAATAACAATTCGGCCATCAGATAATGCATGATCTTGGAACCCTCTCAAAGTTGAAGATTTATTGGCATTTTGTAACTTATTGTTCACCCAGGTAACAATTTCTTTTTCGATCATGGGACTTCCAGTTTTAGCAAGTTGAGTTAAGACTGATAAGGTATATGCACGCATTAGTTGCCAAATTAAAGCTATAATAAAAAAACCGATAAAATTAATTAACCATAAGCTTAAAATGTTAGTACAACAGAGTTTGAAAACAATAAACATGTCTTATAAATTGTATTGGGCTTGGCTGATGTACATTAAATTGCATCAGTTTGCATTGCATTTGAGTGAACGCTACACTGTGTTGTTTCCATCTAACCAATGTAAAACATAGCAAAACTTGTTTCGTGCGGGAAAGAACCTAAGAAGGCTACAGTTATTTAGGTTTGAAAAATGTAAAAATATCTGATTTTTAAAGGTATTATAACTTTTTTCATATTAATGATATTAAACAAATAAAAACAAATGATACAGAAAATATGATTTTTTATATTGTGTAAACTTTTGGTATCTTTACCACAGACCAAGTGATTCTATCCCGCTCAAAACAATTTTTGTTATGTTGTATATTTGTAAGACAAGGACAATACATGCTAGTGTAGCATCCTCTTAATGCAGGATACAGCAGTCAAATGCAATCATCAGCCATTCAAATATTAACAAAATGATGACTTATCTGTATATTACAAAATCAATACCGTTTGTTATCCTTAACAATTAAAATTATGTTAAAACGGCAAAAAAATGTAAAACATGTTATAATGTCAATAACATTGACCATTTCTATTTTATTCTTAACCAAAAATAGTTAATTGATTTTGCTAACCTAATGTAAGAGTTGCATTTCCATCGTTTAAATCTTGTCCAGCAATACCAACTAATGAAAACTTTAATTGACGACCCAACTCAACAGCATAGTTGCAATTTTCCAATTTTTCCATAAATTTTCGCAGTTTAGAAAATTTTCTACAGTATAAACATATTGATATTTGAATTACTTATACTATATTATAATTGTACAAAAACAAATTAAGAGGATGTCAATAAACTAATGGTGAGCTCTTTGTGGGGACATTCACAGCATACTAAATTTGTGTTCAGTGGAACCAATCTTGTATTGATAGATTTAATATTAAATTTAATTTAATTGTTATCAAACCTAAAATTAAAAACATTATTTGTATCTGTATATCGGTTTTATTAAGTTATTGAATATTTTCAGCGATATGTGAGAATATTCAGATATTAATATTTTACATCAAATTGAAATATCATAAAAAAAAGCCAATAAACACAAATAATGTTCGTAACTTTAAGTTGGACAATATGTCGATTCAGTCTAATATTATACTTAACATAAAAAAAATGGTGAAGCTCAATGCAAATTTGCCATGTTATGTGTGAATCACTGAGGAAACTAATTGTGAGCTAACATCCTAATATGTGAATTTTAAATGTATTAACAAATTATTGATTTAGTCTTAAGATTTCAAGCTAAGTTCAGATTATATTTTTTTACCTGTGCACTTTAGACCAATTAACAATGCCTGGTTTAATAATATCATACAATTGAAAGATAATGAGACCATCTGCTAAATCTGAATAAAGCCAATTAACATGAGGTGCAACACCCATAGAATTCATCCAATTTCTGTAAGCTATAACAAAAATTAAAGAAATCATTATATAATACAAATATGAAATAGAAAGACTAATAAACAGTAAATTTAAACCAGATTCAAACATAATTCTTATAAAAAATTAAAACTGACTTTTTTCTTCTCTTGTTTCTTCAATTGATTCTAATCCTACTATTTCTCCTTCGGGTTTATCTAATCCTGGATGATTGTTAAACAGATTGGCAACAAATGCAAGATTTAATTTGTATACACCATTCACAACATCTACGGGTGTAACAAAACTACGACACCCTAACTTAGCTGCTTGCTGCAACATTATATCTGCTCTTTTGTTCAAATCCGGTTCCTGTACAAACAATTAACTGAATTTAATTATGTTTATCCAAAGACATAAATACTCAATGAAAATATTGTTTAGTTAATAAAATGTAACACATGGTTAATCTAGAGGTCTTGCTTTTAGTGAATACAAACAAAAATATTGTGAACACTTGAATGTAACAAAATAAAACATATATGAATATATGTAATATATGTAAATAAATATATGTGTGAATTAATAAATGCTAAGCCACATATCAGAAACAGAATTTCTTATTCACGTGAAAAATATTAAATTGGTATAAACTAAAAATGTATTTTATTTAGATCAAAAATAGTTAATTAATTTTACAAAAAATAATTGCTAACTGATAATTTCTAGAAGGATATTAGGATATATATATAGGTCAGATATTACATTACCCAACTAGTTATATTTTGTACTATTGATTATTAATTGATTTAATTTATATTAATTGCTTACAATAGGTACGATAAAATCATCCTAAACATACAATTAAAAATAGAAAAATAAGTAAGTGTAAACGTAAATACAAGTGAATAATACTATAAATTCAAGGACAATTTGAGGTCTTATATATCAAACCTTAACTTTACATGAAATAGAAGCCCCATTAAAAACAAATGTATAAAAACTGAAATACATATTTATTGAACAATATAGACAAAATAAAACTACCAGTTACTAAAATAAATAAGAAATATTTAAATTAAACATTTTATAACATTTTTGCATTTAATTTCAATTATTTTAAATATTGATCAATAAAATAATATTATGGCTTTTATTCACATTTGCTTTTATGCATTCCTAAAATAACAGAATGAAAAAATGTAAAAGTTGTATTCATAATTAGTAATTACCATTAACGCTGACATATCAACATCAGAATCAAGTGGTGCAATTTGCTTCATAAGGTATGTGTATATTTCCGAATCAGTAATATCATTTTGGAAGTTATGGCATTGCCTGGAATTAACAAAACATTTTACAATCATCCATTCTATATATTATATAACTAAATATTATTTAATACCTTGAAACTCCAGCACGGTTCAAGTGGTAGTTAACCCATCTAAGAAGTATTGCTTCTGGTGATAGTTTTATAAGCTCTTCAATTTTTTCTCCATCTTGTAAAAGTGTAGCTAACCCAGGACAGTTTTCAAGAGTAATTTGATTAAACAGTCCTATCTAAATAATTTAAACACAATTAAACACAATTTGTTGTTTTAAACTGTTTTTTGCCAAAAATATATTTACCCTAATAATTTGCCAGAGTAAACCAAGGACTAAATGTGGTTTTCCTTTTGCAAGATCATGAGCATCAATATTTACAATATTACAACCAATAGATTGACTGGAAACTAGAGCTAGTGTTAAATTTTCTAATTTTTTGTAAACAGTAAGATTGCTTTTGTTTGTTTCTTTATTAATTGCCCTTTCATCAATTGTATCAGGACATGAATGATTAATAACTTTGCTAAAAAAAAGAAATAATTTTAAATAATTATGATATAATATTATGTACTAATATATTATATACAAAATTATCAGTCTAAATATTATAATAATTGTTGGTTTAAAGTCTAAAATAAATATGTGTTTACCAGAGCAATATTCCATCTATGACCTTTTCATACAAATTTTTCCCTTCACATTCTATTGGAAGTAAATGCTTTAGGTCAGGATCATTACTCAAGTTACTATTGATCCAATCAGAAAATGCAAGCTGTTCTTCTAATCGTACAGAATGTGTTGTTCCTTCACTTGATGCATCAGACATACCACCTAAAGTTTCTAAGTTTTCTTTTTTAGAAACAACTTGCTTAAATGAGCTAGCGACTTCTCCTGCTTTTAAGTCTGAACATAACTAAAAAATTATTTAGATGATAAATATTTATAACTTTTTTATATAGTTGTTAGATTAGTAAGTAAAATACTCAACCTTTTTAAATTCTGAAAATACAAGTTTTCCTTTTGTTTCGGTTCTTTTACCATCATAATCTTCAATCATTTTACGAACTTTCCATGCAGGTAACTTAAAACCACATAAGTCTAGAGCCTCTTGTAGTTCTGAAAGATCAATAGTTCCATCTCCATTTTTATCAATCTAAAAAAAAATAAAAAAATAAAAATGTTATTCCATACAAATAGATTTTTTATGTAAATATTAAAATAAACATATTATATAAAATAGTATAGAAATAATAAGAAGTTGAAAAAAAATACAAAAACACATATTTTTTATAGTTAACTGAAAAGCTATGAATTTTATAATACTAAATTATTGATTTTCCTATAATTTGTCAAAATTATAAATAATGATAAAATCTTTTTAATATTTAATATTGATATGGGTAAGAATCACTCATGTTACCCAGTATTTGTATATTTTTTTTACTTACATAATAGAATATAAAATGGTTATAATTTTATTTTAAAGGAAACCAGAATTTAAATTTGTTTTAATTCAATAAAGATCTCAGATTTGTATTTACTATCAACTAATATACAAAGGTTCTAAAAGTCTGTCTTATCTGTGATGCTTGCTAGAAATCAAAGATATATTATAAGAGATTGGCCAACTCAGTGAGCATTTCCTATCGGAAGGCTGTTATCAATGATAATGGACGACATTTATCATACAAATGTTTATATTTACAAATATTCATACATTAATAATAATTATAGATTGTTTTTACACTACAATTTAGTTTTAATAATATGCAATCATAAAAATTAATTTATGTGTTACTAGCTGAATTACCCGGTGTTGCCCGGAAACAAATTCGTGACAAATAAGATAACGGCATGTATTACCATTTACTTTCTTAAATTCATAATTATCGATAAGACATAAGGTGAGGATACTAAACTTAAAAAATAAAACTACGTTTTTTGAAGAGTAATTTTTATTATTTTGGAAAAATGCTACATAACTACCGATCAACTAATATTTTTTTTATAAACTATATTATTAGTTTTTTTACCTGGGGCATATATGTAAAAGTTTTTTTCTAAGCTTACACGGGAGCAGGCAACATAAAATTGTTCGTGAGTGAAGCAAGGATTGCTGATGTCAATTCCTGTAACATTCATTGTCTGTCCTTGTGCCTTATTAATTGACATAGCAAAACAAAGTTTAACGGGAAATTAGACACGTTTAAATTCGAAGAGGTACCCGTTTGTTATCATTGGTATTCTTGAGATATATACAATTTGACCACCCGCTGAGACGGTAAGAATTTCAGCTTCAATAAGGTTTTTTTTCAAAGATAATATTTTTAACCTCGTTCCATTGCACAATTTGGGAGCATTTAAAAGAGAATAATAGCACCGATTTTTAAATCAAGTTTGTGTGGGGGGAGACCTGATGGATTTAATGAGTTAAGAAATTCAGTCGGGATATCTATAGCTTCATCTTGATTAGTAAGTGTATCTATGGAAATATAGTTTTTTTTTATCAGCTTCGAACATGGAAAGAACTTTTTCGTTTATGATGTTGACGGTGTCGATTTTAGGGGCCAAAATTGCACGTTCACGGAGACATTCATTGGATTTATTGGAAAGATGAGAAATTTCAGGATAAACTTTGTTAATTAAGTTATTTTGATCAAGAACCGAAATCGCAAATGTAGAATTTATGTGTATCATGCTATCCTCATCATTCTGAAAAGTTCCGTCACCAATTTTCAAAAGATGTTGTGAGAAGAGCTCGGCATTATTATCACCACCAAGATGTACACGCATATTGGTTTTTAATCTCAAAGATGTTATGTAAGACCAAAGATATGATGACTTTAGACAGGCGTTGATTTCATCGCTTTTAGTGCCTTTAGGCCCAACTGGCAATATTTGTCTAAAGACACCGGCAAAAAGAATAACAACTCCGCCCGTTGGGCGATCATTATTTTTAAAATCCCTCAGCGTTCTATCAAGTGCCTCAGGACCACATTTAATACGCGGTGGGTCCATCCATAGTACCTATATTATGATCTAAGTTTTCCATTAGCAACGAATAACGATATGAACTATCACGTCGCGTAACGGTGATATGGAAGGGGAAGTTTGGGCGGCCACGTCTAGCCGCCGTCCGCTGCCTTACCGCGAACCTCACCCACTAAGTCTACATAACAGGTCATTATTTATGATAGTTGATAACTCCTTTGTTTTTAAGGTGAGAGAATCGATCAAATGCCATAAGCCTTCTCCGCAATGAGCTCTTCAATTTAAAAAAAAAATTATAACGATCGGTTCAGTAGTTTCCGAAAGCATATCACTCGAAGGTTTTCATTTTCACATTTATATATTAGATTAGATTATTCATTATTTACAGTTTTATTGTATAATATCAGTATTCATAGTTTCAACTATGTGTTAGTTATATATTATATGCCAAGATATGCCTAGCTACCTAGTTACTAGTTAGTACACCCATAATGTAGCATATCATAATATATAAATATATCTTAGCTGTTGGTAAGCAGTATGCATATATGTCTTATATTTTACAAATTATGATGAGTATGATTTTTAATTTAACTGTTAATCTTCTAAGGAATCCTAAAATATAAGATTATATAACAATAATAAAAACATATCTTATATACCTACCTAGTAGTATGTTTTACAAAAATTAAAAGTTAATTTAAATTAAAACAGTTATTGGCTCTATAATCCGGCCCCATCAATTATCATGTCTACTTTAATGACAATTATAGGTAAATAGCTCAATATTTTTTAAGTACACACACAATCTGTTAAGTAACCTATACCTACGAATCTAGAAAAAAATTGACCGAAGCATCTACTAAGTATTTCAATATTATAAAACAGTACCTACATATTATAGTAATTAAACACGAATGTATACCTATAAAGTGTTCACTTGCAGACATTTTCGGATATAGCCGTTAAAAATAACAAAATTTAATGTATACAATTATAAGACAGACAGTCTGTTATAAAAAAGTTAACCAGTTCGCATGCAAATAAAATAAAAAATAAATGTAGGAATTTATATATTTTATATTAGCAAGCAGACTAAGTAATTTTTTTTTGTATTCGACTGATTATATGATGTTTTAATTACCGACATACTTAGTTTCTGTTTTTTAATTTGTCCAACAATTTCCACAAGTTAGAGCATTAACTTAATCTTATACTGAGTGATATTATTATTATTTTTGTATTTTTTTTTTTAGGTATTATACCTCGTATTATACTATAGAGACCTACTGTATCTTATGATTTAAATACTAAATAGTTGCTTTAGGGTAAGTATTGCAAAAGCATTCCCGTGGCATCGACAGTTCAAAAATGGAAGAAAAAAAGGTACCAACTACATACATAAACATAATTAATAATATTTTTCAGTAACCTTTATAAAGCACTTTTAAAGATATTAAAATATGTACTAAGAAGTATAAAATAGTTTAAAATGTATATGAAACAAAATGTATTAAGTCCTTGTTAATCTTACTTCTTGATATTTAATATACATTACATTGGTTTTTTTTTTATGCAACAAAACAATAAATGTAATAATAATTGGTTTTTATTTGGTATTCATTTATTGTCTGGTCTGCTAATAAAATATGTATTACTCATAAGTCATAACGTTATACAATAATTTTTTGAAACTGAGAATTTCTAAACAAAAATTATTTATAAAATTAAATATATTATATAATTATATGTTTATTTATTAAACAAGAATATTGCTATTATAATGAATAATCATAAGTAATAAACAATTAAATTATTTTATTTTAGTAAATCAAAAATCAAACATTTTTAAATAGGTATATTATGTTAACCAAATAACCAATAGCAATGAAAAATATCACAGTATATTTTCATAGTACCACATTTAGTATAAGACCTACCAAAACCAGCTAGATCAAGGGTTCTCAGCCTGGAGGGCGAGCCCCTATATTTCGGGGGGGGTGAAAATGTTAAAAAAAAAACACTAAAAATGAACACGTTGCTGTTTTCTATACCGATCTATTAACAGAAAAGATACATTTGTTTTTCATCCTTTCAGTGATTTACAAAAGTGCAATGCTAAATAGTTGTTTTAAATTAAATTTTTTTATCGTAAAAATAATTTTATGCCATATTTTGACACATGTAAAATGTGTATAATTATTAATTATGGTGTGTGTATTCAATATTCATACATTTTTTTGTTTTACTTGACACTGTATTCCTATATAATTTTATTTTTGTATCACCCACTTATTCATGAATAATAATAAAATAACACACATTTTATTTGACTGTTTTTAAATTAATTATCGGATTATCGGACCGGTAGTTCACAAACTTAACGAAAACTGGAAAATAATTTTTTTAATTTATTCATAAATTGTTGAAAAAGAACATTTTACATTTTATAAGCACTAGGTACATTATATAGGTATTTATTTATAATTTTGAAAATAATTCCCACCGTGTCACAACTTAACACTTTCTCATAACACCACTCTTAAAGACATAATACACAATTTAACTCAAAGTGACATGACACAGACACCTGGATTTTCTGGTTTAATTTTAAAATACATAGAGTAAAATGTAAGAATAATAATAAGTTTTTACTTATTATCAACAACTGTGATGTAATTGTTGACAAAAACTACAGCCTACCAATTGTTATTAGGTAATCAGTATATGATTATATGTCGATGTACATTTTTATCAGATATGATCTAAATATAAATAAACTATAGCTGTTTTTGCCTGTATAGGCTATTAAATGATGTTAATAGTCAGTTTTCACCGAAAAAAAAAATTTTAAATAATATTAACACGGAAATTTGTTTATTTATATTTTTCTATACTGGGAAAATGTTGTAATTACGTATTTACGTATTATATACTTACTTAAATTATTAATATGATTAAATTTTCTGATGCGGATACAATGGGAAGGACTGCCCGGGAAGTGTCCACTCAAATCACTGTGATATATCCACCCCCCCCCCCCAAAAAAAAAAAAATTAAAAAAA